GCAAAGAAATCTTGTGATACAGTGGAGGAAACTGGACCAGAACAAATTATGCCTGGAACTGTGTTGTATTTAAAAGAAAACAGAGCCTTTCCAGAAGAAATGATGTACAATCCACTAGAATTATAAAGTCAAAATGAAATTCATCTTTATTCACTTTTATATGTCAAATTCAAGTTTATATGTCATACTATATATAAGCGGTTATGATGAACTCAAGTGGAATCACAACTTCAATACCTATGGGAATGACTTTCTCTGTTTTAACCACAAATCCTTTCATTACATAAGCTGCTCCTCCTGCCTAGAAAGTATTCCCACTCACTCCTTTAGTCAAGCTATTTTCCTTCCCATCTTCAAATTTCTCCTGCAATGATTTACTCCTCCCACTCCCATCCCAGCCTACCTATTTTTTATTATTCTCATCTTCTCTGGTGGCACAGTGGTTAAGTGCCTGGCTGCCAACCAAAAGGTCGGCAGTTCGAATCCACTGCCACTCTTTGGACTTCTATGGGGCAATTTGACTCTGTCCTATAGGGTCAGTATGAGTTGGAATCGACTCAACGGCAATGTTTTTTTTTTTTTTTGGTCATTTCCTCTGTTATTATGTGACTAACAAACATAGGTCATCCAGCAAGAAGAAAACAGATACAGAATAGTTCCAGCATCCCCGTGCTTGGTCCCATCATGTGAGATCCAGAAGACTATTGAAAATGCCCTTACCAATACTGTTTTTGTTTCTTTCTTTTTTTTTTTTTTTTTTTGCCAATTTCAGAGTCAAAAATCATCATCTCATGTGGTATTAGTTCCTAGTTACACTACACAGTGGTCAAGGAATGCAGCCTGACTAACTTATATTTAGGGGAATTTATTGAAGCTTGTGGTCTACAGTATAATCAAATGTGTTAAGCATTCCATAGACATTGGGAAATCATGGGCATACAGTTTTCCATACAAAGTTTTCCATATATCTAGTAAATCTAATTCAAATCCTCTGAATTATTTTCTCTTCACTTGATCTGCCTTCAGATTGCCTTCATCCAAAAGAGGTAAGTTAAAATCCGCCACTACAATTGTGGTTTTATTCTTGTGTTCTAGTAAACAACTACATTATATGTATTTGATAGCATGTTATCTGATGCATAAAAGCTAATAACTATTATGTATTTATTGGTTTTTGTACCTTTTATTTATACAAAATAACCCTTATTACCTGTAAAATTGCTTCTTAAATCCCTGTAAAAATTAAAAGTAACTCTTCACCTTGCTGCTCAGTGTCTGGGGCTTGGGGCCCCTCTGGTTGTCTTTCATTCATTCATCTACCTTGTATACAAAATTAACATTAGCACTCCATTCTTGAAAGGCTATTACAGACCACCTGCATCCTGCTGCATCAGAAAAACAGGCTGACTGCAGTGGAGCTGTCAGTGCCTCTAACTCTGCACCAGCCACCTACTTGGATTCTTCGCGGTAGAAGCCAGAAGAAGCCTACACCCTCTTCTCCTGCTCCCTATCTTTCCTTACTCAGCTGTCAGCCAATCAATCAGTACATACTTGAGCATAGCCAGGTCCTGTGCTAGGTACTAGAAACGCAGCTGTGAATGAGATATACATAGTCCTTGCTTTTGTGGAACTTACAAGTAAGGTAAGTTCTACAGAAGAAAGTGCAGGATGTTAAACAAGCATATGGGAGAAAGACCTTGCCTGGTAAAGGGACCTGGGAAATCATCCCTGAGGAAATTACACTTAACCCGATACATAAATGATCATGCAGACAATCATTAAAGAGTCACTAAAGAGTATCATGGTTATAAGCACAGACTCTGAAGCTAAACCACTGGCTTTCAAACCCCACTCTGGCCCTTATTAGCTGTGGGATTTGGGGCACATTATTTAACTTCTCTGTAAATAATAGTTGTGATGGTTGATGAATACACATATCAGTTCCTGGCACATAGTAAGTACTCAATAAATGTTTACTATTCATTAAACAAATATGAGTGCTTACTATGTGCCAGGCACTGTGTTGGATCCTGACAGTATGATGATAAAGACAGACACAGTCATTGCCTTCATAGTATCAGAGTAATTCAAATATACCTTATAGGAAATACACCTCCAGAAAGATTTAATTTGACAAATTTAATTTTTATCTAAAGTCTCTAAAATACCCTACCCTTTGGCTCAACAATTTCATATCTGGGAATTTATCCTAAAAAAAATTCATGAATGTTTGCAAGATTTTAGCTATTTCTAATACCAAAAAAGTTGAGAGCACCCTAAATATCCAACAGAGGATCAGTTAAATTATGATACAGCCCATATGGTGGCGTTTCATGCAACCATCAAAAAGATGCAGTATAAATTGAATTTATTGACATGAGATGAGATTTAGTACCCCATGCGTGAATCCCTTTTGCTAATAATATACACTAATACACAGTCGGCAAGAGTGGAAGTATTTAAGCCAAGGTGTTAACAGTAATTGTCTCTAGGTGAATAAGCCAGCTAAGAAGCAGTAGAAACCAAGTCTGGAAAACTTGGTGTGAGAAGGAGAATTTATTGGAAGAAGCTGAAGTTAAAAAAAACCAAAAAACAAAAAACCTGCTGTCATCGAGTCAATTCCGACTCAGAGCAACCCTATAGGACAGGGTAGAACTGCCCCATAAGGTTTCCACGGAGCAGCTGGTGGATCTGAACTGCTGACTTTTTGGTTAGCAGCCAAGCTCTTAACCACTGCACCACCAGGGCTCTGGAGCTGAGGTAGCTCAGAAAAAAGAAGGAAAAGCTGAACAACCTTTGGGTAGGGCAGGAATCAGGGTGGTTCTGGGGGTTCAAATAATAGAAATAATAGGATAATCTCTCCTGGATTATGTCACTGGTAAAGGTTACTCAATATATTTGTGTGTGTGCGTGTCCTTTTGTTTTCATCCCACTCAGATTTAAATGCCCAGGACAGAGAGTCTGATTGGCCCCGACTGGGAGTCGAGGCACCAGGGTGGGCACTGAAGCAGTACTGGCCACAGTGGGAGAGCAGCAGTGCCCCAGAGGAAGTAGAGGAAATCAACAGGTGTTCACTATAATGGGATTTTAGGTACTGCACTTCCCTTCTATTCTTTATGCATGTGTGTTTTCTAATTTTTCTATAATGAACAGATACTGTTTTGTAACAAGAAAATTAATTTTTTTTTCAAAGACATCACAATTCAAACAAGTTGCTAAGTTTCCTGGATAGGCTAGTTCACAACTAGTTTTCTTCTTTTATATTCTATTGCTACATCTTCTGCAACAAACCCCATCCCCAGAACTCCACACCCTGCCCATATACCTACTTATCTACATGAGCTATTTTTATGTGGTTACTATCTCAACAATAATACAATGAGCATATGACACTCCAAATAGGCACACAACACTCCATCTCAATAATGTGGCAAATAGATTCTTGAACATATTACCTAATGTAAGAGTAGAATTTTGTAAAATAATCACTAAAGATTACAGCAAGCATTTACTGAGTGCTTGCTCTGTGCCAGAGACTAGGCTGAGTTCTTTTCTCACATTATGTCATTTAATGTAAAAGGCATGATTTGACAAATCTGTATTTCCTTTTTTCCAACATAAATTCTTACTTTATTTCTTTTCTGAAAAAATAGATCATTCCTCTTCCAAGAGCCTCAAAGCCTCACATTAATATCAAGCACTGCATTTAAATTCTCTCTCCATCCCTAAGGGAAAACATGGGTTGGACATGACATATTTTTCTGTGGAGTTGAGGAAGTTATACAGGTACAATTTCTTCAAGGCCACGCAACCATCGGCAGCATCCAAACTTCTCTCCATTCATTGAGCGAGCAATTCTTTTATTTAGCAGACACATTTTGCGGACCTACTTTGTGTCAGGTTTCCTGTGCTAAGCACAGGAATCAAAGGCTGGCATCCATACTGTGCGCCAGGTTGTGATATGTGCCAGAAGCAAAGATGGTCAGCCCCAGCCCTCGTGAGGTAGAGGCCCTGCCTGCCCTCAAGGAATTTACAGTCAGTGGGTAAGCAGAGGAGTATCTGCAAGTGAGATATTTGGCCTAAGAAACAGAAGTGAAAATGATATTTGAGGAATTCAAAGTGTGTATCAAAACACTGAAGGAAGAACAAAAATACTGTAAATACATATAGTTCAAAGAAACTTGTGAGAGAGTGAAAGTAATATGTTGACTAAGGCGATATAGAGTTCACAGGCAGAGATAATAACCTAGAATATTGTCTAAGCCTAGATGAAAGTGGAACACACACACAGAGTCCTACCTTTTTTGCTCTGAAATCTGCCACCCTTCTTTAAAGAATAAGACTGCTGACTCACTGTCAGTGAATGCATTTTCAATTTCATAGTAGCAATGTGTCTGCACTGTTCCAGCCAAAAGGTTGGCACTTCAAACCCACCCAGCAGCTCCATGGGAGAAAGACCTGGAAATCTGCTTCTGTAAAGATTAGAGCCTAGAAAACCCTGTGGAGTAGTTCTACTCTGTCACATGGGGTTGTTATAAGTCAGAATCAACTCGACGGCACCTAACAAAAACAGCCACCCTCTCCAGTCTTCCATGTAAGCAAGTCTCAGCTGTTTCAAGACTGATCTTGGGATCACAGGTGAGGCCACTACACCAGAAGTAAAAGCCACTTTGACCTCCAATCACAACATCCAAGAGTTAATTAACTCTCCAGTTGTGTGTTTATTAGACATTGTGGGTACCTGACACCCACCAATTCTGTTGTTGATTTAATATTTTTCTTCAAATCAACTTACTTTTACAAATTAAATTCTACTTGGCTTTGTCCTCAGCAATGATATACGTGAAATCATGAGTCTTGTGTGCCAGTTATTTTTTTTTAACACGTTAATAATATATAACTTAAAATAGCATATATTGATCAGTATTAACCTCAAGTTGTATCTCATACAAACTTTGGAAAATGCTGTATTTCAAGAACAGTGTTGGAGCTTTTCATCTGTGTCTTTTTTAGCTAGTAGTTAATCTGTTTTTATATCAAATTATGGAAAAAGCATGGGTTTGTAAATCATAAGAGCTGGATTTTAGAGCCGTTTATCCATCAGCATCCTAAGAGGAAACAAATGACACACTCAAATTAGGATAATTCAGGAGAGTTTAGTTACAAAGCAACTATTTACAAAGATGTGAACAGGGTATGGATAGGGTGGGCATTTGTTCCAGCTTGCACAGAACTGGGTGATTTACACCGTTATCCCAGTACAATTGTGAATACCAGCTGCTGTCTAGTCAATTCCGACTAATGGCGACCCTGTGTATGTCAGAGTAGAACTGGGTTCCATAGGGTTTTCAATGGCTGATTTTTTTGAAAGTGGATAATCAGGCCTTTCTTCTGAGGTGCCTCTGGGTGAACTCCAACCTCCAACCTTTCAGACAAGGGACTCTGTAATTATTAACAGCACCCCTTTTACTCTTAAGAGTCCCAGTTTGGATGATAAATTACATGGTCTCCTAAGTATAGAAAGGTCACAAGTGATAATGCAATAACCCAGTGTGAGTAACAATGCAGGTGTCACCAGCCCTCAGCCCAAAAGGGTGACGGGAGTGAGAAGTTATGGAACCCAGGAGGAGTGTACTGTGGAGCAGCCTCCCTTGATGGGGGGCCGTGACCTTTGGTGGAAGGACGCAGACAGTTCAAGGCAACCTTGCAAGAGAGAGCCAAGGAAATGAATACCTACTCTCACCCAGGTCCCTCCTTTGATCTCTTGCCAGATCTCCCATTGGCCAAGCCAATCAGAAGCAAGGGGCAAGGGAATCTGTTGATATAGTCCAGATGGATCAGCTTCCGAGGCAGAGTGCAGGGTGGACAGTGAGTCTGGGGGGCAAACAAAAGATACCCTCAGTCCTGGTTGTGCTACTAATTTGTGTTCCTTCAGCAAGTCCTTCAACCTCTTTGGACTTCAGTTTCCTTACCCTTCACATGAAGGTCTCGTTCTGGTAATCTCTAAGGGATCTCTCCAGTTTCCACATCATATAAAGAAAGAAGAGTCATCAGACTGGTCTAGACTTGTATTAAGAATTAGGGAGATTTCTTCACCAAATCAATACCATTTACAATAGCCCCCAAGAAGATAAAATACTTAGGAATAAATCTAACCAGAGACATAAAAGACCTATACAATGAAAACTACGAGACACCACTGCAAGAAACCAAAAGACATCTGCATAAGTGGATAGGCAGACTCAAACATACCTTGCTCATGGATACTTTGCTCATGGATCGATAGACTCAACATTGTGAAAATGTCAATTCTACCCTAAGCGATCTACAGATACAATGCAATCCCAATCCAAATTCCACCAGCAATTTTTAATGAGATGGAAAAACAAATCACCAACTTCATAAGGAAAGGGAAGAGGCTCTGAATAAGTAAAGCATTACTCAAGAAGAACAAAGTGGGAAGCCTCACACTACCAATTTCAGAACCTATTATACTGCCACGGTAGTCAAAACAGCCCGGTACTGGTACAACAACAGATACATAGACCAATGCAACAGAATTGAGAATCCAGACATAAATTCATACACCTATGAGCAGCTGATATTTGACAAAGGCCCAAAGTCTGTTAACTGGGGAAAAGACAATCTCTTTAACAAATGGTGCTGGCATAAGTGGATATCCATCTGCAAAAAACTGAAACAAGACCCATACCTCACACCATGCACAAAAACTAACTCAAAATGGATCAAAGACTTAAATATCAACTCAAAAACAATAAAGATCATGGAAGAAAAAATATGGATAATGCTCAGAGCCCTAATACATGGCATAAACACAATACGAACCATAAGTAACAATGCACAAGCACCAGAAGAGAGACTAGATAACTGGGAGCTCCTAAAAATCACACACTTACGCTCATCAAAAGACTTCACCAAAAGACTAAAAAAGACAACCTACAGACTGGGAAAAAATTTTTGGTTATGACAAATCCAACCAGCGTCTAATCTCTAAAATCTACAAAATACTGCAAAACCTCAACAACAAGAAGACAAATAATCCAATTAAAAAATGGGCAAAGGATATGAACAGGCACTTCGCCAAAGACATTCAGGTGGCTAACAGACACATGAAGAAGTGCTCACAATCAGCCATTAGAGAAATGCAGATCAAAACTACAATGAGATATTATCTCACCATAGCAAGGCTAGCATTAATCCAAAAAACACAAAATAATAAATGCTGGAGAGGTTGTG